CGGGTTCGAATCCGGAAAACTCATTTTGGTATGCCAACAAGACACACTGTGCGTTTACTGACTGTGCTAAAATCTGGGAGACGGGGGAGTCTTGGAGATCTTCGACTTGACGGCAGCCTTTCGGTGTTGAATTTTATTCTTTGCATTTTTTTTGAGGTTTGAATCCCCCTTTTATCCCCCCCCCCCCCCCGGCCCTTTCCCTTCCGCCCCCTCCCCCCCCCAAACCCCACCGCTCCCCCTTCACTTCTCCTTCCTCTTCCGTTTTCACCTATTCCTCTCCCTCCTCCTCCCACGGCACCTTGCCTCTCTTCACTTTCATGCCCGCTGCTCTCTCTAACACTCGACAGGGAGCTCGACCTGGCGCTCCCGCTGCGACTGGCGAACCTTCCCAACGGGGCCTCTCTAGACCTACAGCCCCTGACAGAGCAAGAGCAGAAAGGTTTCCTTCAATGACGTTACCTTCAAATGACAACCTGCCATGACGCCCCCGCGTTTCTCGTGCAGCTCGAGTCGTGTCTGTCACCCTGCAGCTGGAGGACGGCAAGAGGTATCAGAAGGAGTGCCACTGCAGCACACTGCTCTTCGACGTGCTGCAGAACTTGGAGGACGTGTGTGGGGCAAGGCTGGTGACTGGGGTCAACATGCTGCAGGAGGTTGTCATTTCCTTTACGCGCATGCCGGCGTGCCCAGCGCTGACTAGCTCCCTGCAGTTGCCTTGCGTGACGGTCATGAACAAGACGCTGGAAGGAGAGCAGCTCCGGAGCAGCTCGCTCCTCAGCATCGGCCTCGTCTCCGGAGGAGCCTTGCTCAAGTACCGGCTCAAGAAGAACGAGGCGGCGGCAGGAGGGGAGCAAAAGCCGGAGCAGCCGGATGCTGCCCAGCAGAACCCCAGCCAGCCCGACGAGAAGATGGATGACGTGGCAAGCTCTGCCGTCCCTGAGCCAGCAGAAGTCCCTGGAGGACAAGCGGCGAGCGAGGAACAGGGCGGGGCAGCGGTGAAACAACCGGTATCGGAGGAAAGCAGAATGGCGGAAAAGCCCGAGGAGAAGAGGGAAGGGAGAACGTGGACGGTGGGAAGGGAGAGGGAGGGAGACTCTCGTGCTGTCTTGCTGCAACTTGACGATTCGATCTTCGAGTTGACGGTCAGTCAAATACTTCGATTCTCCATCCTTTTCCTCATCTTCCTTGCCATTCCCCGGTTTTTCCTTCTCTCCTCCAATCGCTCTATCTTCCTTGAGCTGAGATATGGCTGCCTGTAGTCGGAAGACCTGCACTCGTTGGAAGCCTCGAAGAAGGCGAAGGAACAAAAGAGCGGGTCAATGAGGAGATTATGATGTAGTTGCCGTCTTGACGTGTCAATGCTCTCAGTTTCAAGACAAGGAAAATGAGAGAAGAGGAGCGAGAGCAGAAGCTGTCTGCCTATCAGACTGTCGTCATCCGAGTTGTCTTCCCGGACAGAACTTGGCTTCAGGTCAGGCCGCATTCTTCAGGCCTATTTCGATGGCGAGTGCTGACGTTCTGGCAGGGCAAATTTTCGTCACAAGAGACGTTCTCTGACATCTACAACTTCGTTCGCCAGGCACTTGTACAGAAAGAGAGGTTGTCTTTGCGGTTCCTGCCTCTTCCTCGTCCTCACCATTCGAACAGGGCATTCTACTTGTTCATGACGCCTCCCCCCAAGAGGATAGAAGACTCCTCTTCCACCCAGCTCAAATACTCCCAGCTGCTCCCGGCTGCGAGGATTCTGTTTGCATGGAACGAGTCCAAGTCAGAGCCTGGTGAGCCTGCCTCGGCCCTTTCCTCGTCGTCACGAGCTGCTGGTCTAGACTGCTCCTACTTGTCCTTCTCCTACATGTCAAGGATCGAAGAGTTTGAGGTGTCGCAAATGAGCTTTTTGCCGTGTCAGCAAGCTGAAAATTTGCAGCAGGAGCAGAGCAAGAAGGCGAGGATGGACGTGGAAGGAGGAGGGGAGGCTGAGGTAGGAGCTGTATTCACGTTAGGACGGTTCTGACGGCGGCGAGTCAGGCAGGCGCATCGGCAGAGATGGACGCAGAAGCATCCAAGGGCGAGGCCTCGGGAGGAGACCAGCAAGCCCCGGAACCTCCGAGGGTGGAAGACGATCAGAGAGCAGGTTTGCGCTGCCCTTCCACTAGCTGGAGACTTGCTGACAGACCTGCCCAGCTGCGCTGCGTGCTGCTGAGAAACGAGCTGAAAGGGTCTCAGGGAAACCGAAGTGGTTCAAGATGCGCTGATGAAGTTAGGCCGTTTCACTTTCACGCTAGAAAATTAATTCCCTTCCACCAACGGTCGTTGCCACGTCACCACCAGCAGTGCTTCGGGGCTCGCCATGCCAGTGCCCTTGGCGACAGCGCTACTTGTCCGCTCCCTCGGCTGCAGCCTTCTTCAGCTCCTGCTCAGTGAGAAGCTCTAGCCAGGCTGCGCAGAATTCCATCACGACCTTGGGGTCCCTTAGCTCCTTCTTGACGTCCTGCAAGCTCTTCAAGCGTTCGAATGCTTCCTTCGTGTCATCCTTTGCCTTCACGCTCCCGGCAAGGACGTTCTTGATCCAGGGCTCCTGGTCCAGGGAGGCCTCCTTGAGCTTCTTTTTGAGGTACTCATAGCGCAAGGGGACGTAGACTTTGTCGTCCTCTATTGCTCCGTAGAAGGCGTCGTAGATCTTGAAGCGCCACTGCGTGAATCCCACTCAGCAACACCCACCGGCCTCGAGTGAACTATCTCCCTTACCTTAGAGCCAAGGAATCTGGTTCCAAATCCGTCCTTGACTTTCTCGTATGCCTTCATGAATGCCTCGATCACCAGGCTCCTCTCCTTCTTGGCATCCTCCAAGATCCCCGCAAACGTGACTTTCATCAGATCCTCCATGTCCATCTTCGTGTCCGGGGAGACCGCAAACCGTTTGATCTGCAAACAACATCATCACCAAAAGGCTCTTGGTTGCACGGAGGCAGGAGAGGGAGGAGGAGGAGGAGGCGGGGAGGAGGAGGGGGGGGGGAGGGTTGAAAGGCGAAGTGGGTGGGGGTCCAAGACAAGCAAGAGAAAGGCTTACAGCAGGCTCAAAACATGCGCCCCATTCGTCAAGGTCGATGTGACCGCTGTGGTTGGCGTCCAGGGTATCTGCCAGACCTGGTGTCAGCAACGAGGCATCAGCGTCCTGAAGTGAGTCTTCAGAACGCGCAGCCGCCCGTTCGCACCGAAGATCACGTCCATGTCATCGACGGGGTTCTGAAGGGTGATGTTGAGGGTGTCCAACACTTTGAGCAGCTCCTGCTTGCTCAGATGCCCTGAACCATCTTTGTCCGCTTCTTGAAATGCCTGATTGATCTGCAATCTTATCGTGTACATGTCGCAATTCTGGCCCACGGAGGAGGTCCTGCGAACCATTGCTGCACTTCCATCTGACGTCAGGCGCGAGAACTGGGGAGGCATTTCGAAGATAGGTGTTGTAAACTTGTCTTGGGCAGCAGAGTACTCTTACTGAAACAACAAGTCATTGATTCAACACAATCCTAGCAGAGCAATCTACGATCAAAATGCCAAGGATTTTCAACTCTCAGATACTGTCAATATTTTCCATTGTTATGTTGCTACAAGTCTGAAAGGAATAATGCTACAATTCCAAAGTCTGCACAAACAACCACTACAAATCAAGCATTTACCCTTCGTTGTGACAATCCTTCTCACTGAAGCGGCCGCGCCACCTCATCAACTCGTTTGACATTCGCTGATCACTTTTTCCCATTGGCCCAGAGCAGATGAAATATTCTCCTTACTCAAGTCTTAGCTTGCAATAATTCACAAGCTTTCTATCCATGTTCTACTCGACGATTCTCCTCTCTGACTTTGATTATACCGTGTTTCATCTTGGAATCCGCTCTGTTGCCCGAAACTCCATTCTTCCTGCCTAATGTTCTCACTGCTCTCATCTACCATCCCATGCTCTCTCTACCCCAGTATCTCCCGTTTCATCCCTCCTCTCCAGTCTTCACTCTCCCCTTCCCTCTTCCCTCTTCCCCCCATCCCCCTCCCCTCTCCTCTCTCCCCTCTCCCTCTTCTCTTACGTCCCACTTTCTCCTTTCTCCTTTCTCTCTCCGAATTTTCCTTTCACATTCAGAGGTCTACACTATGCTGGCATGAATCTCTCTCTCTCTCTCGTCTCCTCTCCTCTCCTCCTCTTCTATCCCCTACGCCCCTCTTCCCTATTCCTCCTCTCCGTAGGAATTTGCACAAACGGAACGCACATTGTCAATTTTTTAGAGGTACCCTACCCCCTGATTTACCTTCCGGTGCACAAACATTGTTATACCCCTGCCTACTGGATATCACTATCTTCCACCATCTTCCATTTATCTTAGTACTTCACTTAAGAAATTTATGATGTATGAAGGATAGATTCCATTAAGATGCTCACGACTACCGGTAAAAGTGCAAGAGGATGAAAATCTTTAGCCACGGGTAGTACAGACAACGAGGTTCGAGTCTTCTTTCCTGGTCCTACGTACTTCTGGTCATAGGGATTTGTAGGAAAGACCTATTATCCTACAATTTTTTTCAAGTCATCTTGGAGGTGGGGTCACGGATATCCAAAGGGGTAGGGGTGATTCTCTACGGGGTTCCCGAGGCCAATAAGTCTGGAGGGGTGGTGCCAAATACCTCTCAGAGAGTCGGGTACTTCCGGGGGACAAAAGGTTTAGTTATTATTACTCCGGCGGGACTCGGAACTTCGGAAACGAAGTTGGCAACAGGCCGGCCCCGGCCGCGGCGGCCGGACGGTGACTGTTGCCACTGCGAGTCCCTACAGCCTCGGAGTCTGGGTTGGAATGTCAGGGGCAAGCCTCCTCGACTCTCCTGATTGTCCTCGTACTGATTTTTAACTTATAAAGGCTCAGTGGAGTATAACTTCCATAAGTTCAACTTTCCGAAGTTCAGCCCGGCCTCAGAGCGGCCCAGCCTCGCTAGTGCCAGGACCGTTAGACTGGAGGGTCTAGATCATGGAGCCTTTGGGTCGGGCAGCAGCCATTTTGAGTCAAGTTTGCAGTGACTGTTGAACGGTGAGCACAGTGGCGAACAAACTCGGAACAGTCGTTGATTGAAGTTGCCATAATAATCTTACATGATTCCACCGAATATGCACTACACTGGATATAACTTTTGTCTCAGTGCCGGCCATGACACCTGACAGTCCTGATCAAACTCCGCCGCCGGATGCCTGCACTTGCGCCGGCTGCCATTGAAGCGTCATCCCTTGCATGGCGTGCGTCTGCTCGCATGTCCTGACGCTCTGAGACGACCCGCGCGTGCCGCAGACGGTGCAAGTGAACTTGAGAGGGCAAGTCCCCTCATGGATATCGACGTCCTCCAGCGCTCCTGTGAAGCCACACCCGTTCCCGCACGAAAAGATCTTGACGAGGAAGTTCGGGCAGTTGAGTCCGCTGACTGCCCTTGCCTTGTCTGCCTTGACGCTCAAAGATTCATGGAGGCCCTGTGACATGATCAAAGCTGACATCACATTCCTGAGGTTCGCCTCCTCTGTCTTGAAGGCTGTCTCATATTTGGCGAGTAGACTTGGGATCATCAGCTCCGAGCTCTCTTCCTGCTTTCCATCCCCTGCATTGCCTTCCTCTTTCGTGTTCGAAGTCCAAGCTTGCTCCTCCTTGAGATATTTGTTGCGAGTGTCGACGTATGCAGCCTCACACTTTGCGTACTTTACTTGGCAATCTTCCAGCTGGGTAGCAAGTTGTCAGACTTGAACACATCATCTCCAGGACAGACATATCATACCTTGCTCCTAAGGTATGCTGTGACGTTGGACGCGTTGCTTGCTAGCTGCATCTTGACCTTTGATTCTAAGCAAAGGAAATGATTGCAGTCCGCAGGATAGATCTTGATGAGAGTCTCCAGTCCTTTGATTTCCTGAATCTGCCTGAAGAGCTTTTCATCCTTTATGTTCTTAAACTGCATGAATCCGTCAGGACAACTCGATTCAAATCATTTCAACACACTCACAGCAATATGAGTCTTGTCGTTGAGCTTGGCAATGACTTCAACGGAGATGACTTTCTCGGTGTTGAGAATATTGCACAGAATGTAATAATTAACTGGAGTATACTCGTCGTTGACTATTTCGCTCGGAATGCTTGGATATGCCTTCTGCACGATGTTCAAAATGCTTTGTGAATCCTTCTTGGGGTCCAGAACTTCAGGAGCCGGAGCAAGATAGTGCAGATTCAGCTTCTCAACAGTAGTTTCGCACATCATGGCAATGGCAGAACCGATTGCTGCGCTGAACTCACCAGTTCGAAGGTTGTTGTTGATCTGGAAGTCGTCTAGCTTGATCTCGAGTCCGTTCTCATTGCTCACTGTCTTGGGGAACTCGCTGTCCTTAGTAAGCACGAATTTGAAGCCGATATGATCTACAGGGATTTCCTGCGGGCAGAGCGGCTCAATCTGTTCAGGAACTGGCTGCACAACAGCTGGGCCAGGCATCATGAGGCTGGCAGGATACTGAAGAGAGACGGGGGTGAGTGCGATTCCAACTTGATTCGGCACAGAGATAGAGCCAGCTGCTTGCGGAATGGGAACGGAGACGGTAGATGGACCTGAGATGGGGATGGAGATGGAAGTGGAGGTCGTCTGAAGGTTGGGGATGGTGACAGAAGAGGAGATGGGGAGAGAAGGAGCTCCTAACATGGCGTCGGGAGGGAGCATGGAGAAGACGAGAGGGCCTGACGTAGGGAGGGAAGCGGCTGTGAAGCTCTGCATAGCGATGACTGCTCGTCGCACTGTGGAGGTTCGGATGAAAGAAAGGACGAGGGAGGGGTGGGTGGGAGGCCTTGAAGGGGGAGTGGGGTGGACAAATTCTCGCATTGACGGGGTAGTGCGGGGGAGAGATAGGGGTACACAGTTGAACGGTGCGTTCTGAGAGACACCCTGTTTGGCAGGAAGGTTGGGGAGGAGGGGTACGGGAGAGGGAAAGAGGGGTACTCTGCAGTGGGGTGTATGGCGGGAAATCCTGTGGGGTAGGGGTGGGTGTATGAGAGTCAGAGGGATCACTGATTGACCGTTACATTTTTGGGAAGATTTGAGAAATTGCTCCTTCAGGGAGGGTGGGGTGCTCAAGTACTGGTGTAATTAAGAGCAAAAATTGCTTGGAGACTAGGGTAGGGGTAATGAAGTACCTCTTTGGGGTACCCGGTCGCTTCACTAAAACTTACACTTTTATTATTTGTACCGTTGAGTTTCTGGATTACAGATGTGTCTGTGCAGGGGGTCCTTTACGTGAAGTTTTCAAGTAGACAGGTAGGGTGGGGTACTGGTATGACTCATTTTGTATCTGAGTCGTAGTGAGATGGGGTAGGAGGTTCAGGGGGTGCTGTTGAAAGAGGGGTGGGGTCGTATGCGGGGTGTGGAGGCATTCGATACCTGTCTAGGAAGATGATGGGACATGTGAATCGCATAGGGAGGAGGAGGATCAGGAGGAGGAGGAGGAGGAGTGATAGGAGGAGAAGGAGTGATAGGAGGAGGAGGAAGCAGAGAGGGAGAGATATAGATAGATAGATAGATAGATAGATAGATAGATAGAGGGGGGGGGCGGGGGCAGGGGGGGAGCCAAGGAGCCAGGGAGCCAGGGAGAGAGAGTGAGAGGGAGGGAGCGAGGAAGCGAGAGGAGCGAGCGAGGGAGCGAGGGAGCGAGGGAGCGAGGGAGCGAGAGGAGGGAGAGGAGGGAGAAGAGAGGGGGGAGAGGAGAGGAGGGAGGGACGGAAGGAGAGGAGGGAGGGAGAGAGAGGAAGGGCGAATGTCGGCTAAAGAGAGGATAACAATCAGCAAGATAAATGTCACGGGCGCTAGTGTAATGAGCGAGTCCACTTCTTCATGGAGATATTGACTCAGACCGAAACGGGAGTCACAAACAAGCGGGTATAGGGAGGAAGACTCAGATTTGTGGCGTTGTTCCTGTCAAGTATGTGCGTGAGCGTGCAGGAATTATATCACAGTATGATATTTTCTTCTCGACATATTGAGATTTAGAAATGCAGACAAAGCCAGTCTGAGCCAAAGAGTGACACAAAATTCTTCTCCTCTCGAGTTTGACATTTTTTTGTTCAGGCACAAGCACTATGCAGGCTTTCGAAGTTCCATATTCTACTGTACAGATTCCTCTCTCTCTCCAGGCCCCTATCCCTGGCACGCAGTTTTCTTATCCCTTTGAAGGAGGTTTCCCCACACAGGTCCTTACATCGTTTGCAGCACCCCCCCCTGCTTCCACGGAAAGTGTACAACTTCCCATCAGTCTCTCCTACCCTCTTCTCGGGGTAGAGGGCTCTGTGCAACCGACTACCATGCCCCTGGTACAGCCAGCTCCTCAGGCCGTACCCCTCTGCCCTCAGGAAACTCCTCTTCGCCATTTGATCCTCAAGCTCTTGTTCCGTACAGATGGCGATTTCCCGAAGACAGAGGCCCAGAGCGGAGCTCCGTTGAATCCCCACGAGCACTTGGCAAACATCCTTTCATCTAAGGATTTGGATGAAAAAATCCAGGGTGTCCTCCAAGACCTTGGTCTCGGTGCCGCGAGCAGAGCGTTAGGAGATGTTGTGATGCTCGACAATCTCCTCACGATCGAAATTCTCTTTACTGCTCCAACGGTATCAGACAAGGTATCTGTCGACAGCAAGAAGCTTCCCTTCAAAGATGTTGTTGAGAAGATCAAAAACCTGAAAGACGAACACGAGGTCTTCGTCAAGAATTCAAATCTTGTGTCCGTGAATGTTGCTCCTTGCAATCACTCTGTCTGCTTTGAGTAAGTCTCCTCTCTCTGTTTTTTTGGGCCTTCACAGTTGTATCCGCAACAGGGCCAAGCTCCGATTAGCTCAAGCACGTGATTGCATGTACAAGACTTTTGGCCTCGTGAAGGAGGTATGGCAGGATCAGCTTCACTTGCTGAGCAGAACACTGAAACCTCTTTCCAGCTCGAGCAAGCGATGGAGAAGGAGAGCAAGACGGAGCTGTCATACCAGAGCAGCTTGCAGGAGTACGCGAACATAGAGAAGCAGTTCTATGCTGCACGCCGCAAGCTCCAGGCACTCGACCCTTCCAAGACTCCGGAGAAGCAGGTGGAATATTTCAGAGTTGAAGACATTGTGCTCATCCCTGTTTATAGTACAAGGCTGCAGTGAAAGTGCTCACTGGATCGGAGGAAGGAGACTTCAAGGACGGTTGCGAATATAATGGAGGCCTTTTTCTCTCAAAGAAAACAGCAGCGACCAAAGCTGCTAAGCTGGAAGCTGCCTTGCAGAATCTTTCCATCATTGTTCACGAGAAGCGTGCGGCCTTGGCTGTTGCAACAGCTCACGAGATTGTCTTCGGGCAAGCACACGAGAAGGCAACGTGAGTTCCTGCGAGTTGCTGCCATCGAGATCTGCTGACATCATCTTTTAGCTCTTTAGCAGGCCCCAACTGCCCCTCGATCTACCCCCGCCAGTTCACCTGCACACACTCTTGCGGGTTCATGGGGACGCAGGAGGTGGTCCAATACCACGAGAAAGCCTGCGGGACGAGCTACCAGTGCTCCGTATGCGGTGCTCGCGGATCGTTTCTTCAGGCGCAGATGTGCGAGCAGCAGCATAGCATGATGATGGCAAGTGTTCCAGCCGCTATCCCTGTTAGCCTTTTGTCAGCTCCCGTCAACTATGGCAGCATGTTATGATCTATGATCGGATCTGCCCGGCCTCTCTGCTTGTCAAAATAAACTTGAATGTCTTCCCGAGCGACTCCGAGTCAGGGTTCAGCTTGGCCAGTGACCCCGCACCCAACTTCGCGGCTCCTGCCGGCAGTGACACCGGGACTCGGGGACTCCGAACTTGACTCAGTGGGTCGTTTCATCCCGGCTCGGACCGTTACAATGGCACTGGCGCCTCTTTATGCCTCCTCCATTTGATCAAGATGGGTGGGGTAATTACAGTACGGGTGGTTTAGCAAAACAAACATTAGGTTTACCACGGGGTATAAAAATTCTTGGAGGGGTACGGTGGAGAAAGGATGATTTCTTGGTAGGGTAGTTAGGGGTGCAAGGAACAATGGAGCAGGCAAGGGAGCGCGAAGGAGAGGAAGAGAGCAGAGGAAGCTGAGAGGAGAGGAGGATCAGACAGAGACGGAAGACTAGATCAGAACAGTTAACTAGGAGGCGATTCAAACAACCGCCACTCCAGCTGTTTCCATGCAGCTTTCCTACGTTCGCCCCTTGCTTCCGGGCACCAGCGTTAGCACTTCTTTTGCATACAGACTTGAACAATGCAGGACGGGAAATCCTCTCACAAACCGCAGGGCAGCGAACCCGTGTCTCTTGCTGCATGATGAAATGACCTGCCCACCTGTGAAGAGAAGCAAGAATATGAGGACGCGCGTGACCATGTCAGGCTGGTTGCAGAACAAGAGCGAGAGGAGGTCCCTTAAGATTCTCTCCCCAGACTTCCGTCTCGGCCTCTCAACTGCTGCTCTCGGTTTTGTGTTGAAGAACATGTTCGGTGCTTCTGGGATGGGACTGTTCTTCACGATCCTCGGCGGCTTCTTTGTGTTGCAAACGTCGAGACTGCGTTTCTGCTTCGGCACCGACACATTCTCTGTGCTGCGGGTCTCTGGGTTATCCGAATCAGGATACGGCAACGATCTCAAGCCGAAGAGCATACAGGGCGGCCTTTCTTCGAACAGCACTGAAGGAGAGGGCGAGGAAAAGCGGGTCACAGCAATAGGGCCCTGGTCGTATGGGAGCATCGTAGAGTGGAGGTTCTGGTGGCCGGGCTTCCCGCTGCTGGCGTATTTCAAGGAGACGCAGACGAAGGAGACCGGGCAGAGACACTTCATTCCCATGCTGATGGATGGGAGGAGCATGTACGAGCAGATGCAAAAGAATTTCGGCCGATCCTCCCAACGGCTGCCCGATGTGCGGACAGGAACCTGTTGGAGGTTGTCTGGGAACTTACAGAGAGTTTTGATCAGGCGAGCAAGTGGAACGATCTGATCCCCCTCACCCCACGGGGGTATCGCCTCACCAAGGCCAAAGTGAAGCTGTACGTGCATAGGATGATGAGGACGCTCAAGGCAGAGATCTCTCCGCGCACCCGTTCCTGCCCTGATCCTGCCGCGCAGTTGAGGGAGTGGCTCAACGTCATCTTCCAGGAGCTGAAGATGCTGATCACGAAAGTAAAGGTCAGTGATCGTGTGATGGGTGTGATGGGTGTTTCTAGTTTGTGTTCGGCTGATTGTGTCAGTCTTCATCGTATCCCCATGATTTCTGTCTTCCCTCACCATCTCCCCCAACCCTCCGTCCCTCTACGAACGTGCATTTGCACCTCCCATCATGATTGTCGCACCGGCATATGTCAGGGAGAGTGTTTCTTTCCCCTCGGCACCCCTCAGGACCGTGGGAGCTGTGACACAACAAGTTGACTGCCTTGCGGCAGGATGCACTGCAATCCTCGGACAAGTCAAAGCTCCAAGACGATGTCACAGCTGCTGTGCGGACGATGTGGGACAAGGTCTCCCTGCTCGTCGGAATCAAAACTGCGAAATAAACGGGCCCAGTGATAATTCGAGCCAGTGACTGACTCCAGGGCCGGATCAGTCGGTCACTGATTCCACTGCCGCAAGTTGTGACTAGTCAGTAACGGATTCAGTCACAAATTCAATTCGGCGTCACGAGTCGAGCGGGGCTGCACCGGCCGGGCCGCGAGCCGCCGCGTTGAGCGGGGCCCAGCCTCGGCGGAGCCTCCGGCCGGCCCAGCCGCGGCCGGCGTGTCCGCCGGGCCCGCCCTCAGCCTGGCCGTGACTCAGCCCGGCGGTATCAGTCTGCTGGAGTTCCCTGCCAGTTGTCAGTGACAGCACTGCATTGAACTTGCTGGACTCAGGTTGTTAGACGAGTGGACAATATTCTATGACATTTCCATTGAGTATTCACAATAGATCATAGCGATCAATTAGAACGTGGTGTCAATATTACATATATTTGCAATAGTTTATTGTTTGACTGGTCCGTTGGAAAAGGCCCTGCGAGCCTTGTGCCATGTGCGGACGTAGAAGGAAGGGTGTTAGGGGTAGGAAGGAGAGGAGGAGAGGAGGAGAGGAGGAGGAGAGGAGAGGAGGAGAGGGAGGAGAGATACAGTAACAGATAGAGGGAGGACGATAGAGGAGCTGCCGCGGAACGAGCATGAGCTGACCCGCCAGTGAGAGCCATGAGCAAGAGCACTCGGAGAAACTTGATGTCGAGGCTCAATGATGCTTTCTGTTCAGTTTGTCAACTTCCTCCGTGTTGAAGTTGTGGTTTCATCAGGGAGCAAGGACAAAGTTCTTCAGCTCCTGGGAGAGATGAAGGAGTTGATCACATCGCAAATGGCCGAGCCCAAGTCTGGTTACGAATTCGACGAAGAGTTCGGGCTTGTGAAAGGGTGAGTAAAGCAGCCGACTGAATCAGTCCCCACCCTCTCCT